GTGAAGGATTGCAGATGTGACTCCGACTTTCCTTCTTGAGGAGCCAGCACAGGCTTGTCAGCTGGCTGCATCTACATCAGCAGCCCTCAGGCCAGGGTGCAAGCTCAGACAGCTCCCCACAGGGAGGAGGGGATGCAGCTGTCTTTCCCCAGCCCTCTGCATGTCTGGGGAGCTGTGTGCTGCATAAGTGGGCTCTGTTCCTTGCAGCTCAGTTGCCTGAGGTCTCTCTCTCAGCCATAAAGGGGGCAGGAGGGGACATTGCCTTTGGCAGGGGCCATCAGATGTCTCTTCATTATAGGTAGGGGCAGAAGTTACACCCCACAGAGTCCTACTGCTGTAATTCTGGGCTGCAAATCCCAGAGACCTGGGGGGCAGCAAGAAAAAGAAGTGAACACACAGACAGAGAGCTGTGCTCTAGCGCCCCCCAGCTTCTGGCCTGAGCCACTGCAGGCATGTGGCTGCATTTCCTGAATCAAAGGTAAATGTCTGTCACTTCTGTTTCAATTTAATCTCTGCAGTTTAGGTTAACCTGCAAAGACTGAATCGATTCAATCTCAGGCTTTTTGACTGTCTGTACCTAGTGTATAGGGTGGTCCCCCATAGAATACAACTCCTGTGGGAGGGCAGCTCCCACCACAGGGACCTCACTTAGGTAGGAGGCTGCCTCGAGATTTTGCCCCACCTCTTAAAAATGCATCTACACTGCTCTATGACAGGAGAAGCCAACTTGCCTGGTAAGACTTGTGGGAGCTAAGGTATAAAGTGTGGGGGTGAGTCCCATGAGAAAGGACTGTGGGCTCTGTCCTCCTGCACCAAAGACTGGAGACTAAGGCAGGGGGTAAGGACTGCTGGGTTCTTTCCCTAGTTCACGTTGGAGCCAGTAGACACTACCTAGAACCATTTGGGGCTTGCTGTTACCTGCCTGACCTGCAGAGTTGCTGAGCAATCTCCTGCTGATTGAAGTAAGAGGTCCAGGTCAGCACCTCATCACTAAAAAAAGTGATAGCAATGCTGACCTATCTATCTACCAGGGCTGCCAAAGGACTTACTGAGTTGGTGTATATAGGGTGCTTGGAGACCTTTGCATGAAGGACACGGGAGTGACTGTTGTGAAGTCTCCTTGTCACTGTCATTCTTGCTGGAGTCTTCTTCATGATGATAGCTCTTCTTTTTAAACAGAGAAATCCTCAGGCTGGCAAAGAGGATTGTCATCCCACTGACTTGCTGCTCCTCTGGCCAGAAAAGAAACATCGCCGGGTTACCACGTTCTAGGAATCAAATTCCCAAGACCTTTCGCCAAAGCCAAATTTCTTCTCCCACAGCTGTTTGGTGCCCTCCCATGGCCAGATCTAGAAAGGAGAGTGACACCAATTGTGAAAGGTTAATGTAAAGCCATTTTTCAGCTCAGCAGACACTGTATAAATGTGAGTTGTGGCCAATTGCTACTCAGAGCCTTGTTACACGTTGTGCTGTGAGCCGCACAAAGGTTGATCGACTTAGTGCTAGCTCGCAGTCACACTGTCAACTGAGCGGCACATCTGTGGGGAGTGGCTGCACCATAGTGAAACAGGAGCTGGGTTATGTGGATCAAGAGATAATCCTGCCCTGGAGTGGTGCAATTTTGAGCTGCATAAAGAGGGCAACACCCTGCAAGCAGCCTGCAGAGCACATGCGAGCTAGCCAGCTAGCGATCACAGATTTTTCCTCCATCGACCTCCAATTCACTTGGACAGCATGAGCCGAGGGATGCGCCCCCCAGACCCCATCAGGCGGACATCTAATTGGAGTTGTGGTGAGGTGCTGGACCTCATTGCGATATGGGGAGAGGAGATGAGGACTGTTGCAATTACAGCAAAGGGAACTAAAAGAAACCGGCAGAATCAGGCTGTTTGTGAGAGGATTGCGGTACAGATGGTGGCATGGGGACATCAGCGGGACTGGCTTCAGGTCAGGACCAAGTTAAAGTCCCTGAAATCCCTCTATGTGAGGAGCAGGAACACCAATAGGGTGCCCAGGGCAGCCAGGTCCCCAATTCCCTTCCACAAAGAGCTTGCAGACATCCTTGAGTGGGATCGTGCTGTGGCTCCTCACCGCACGGCCGCGGGGCTGGTCTGCTGTGACAAGCAAGAGGAGGAAAGCTGTGAAGCTGCCTCCTCCCAGCAGCCGCCTGCTGCTCCCCAAGAAAGTTCTGAGGACCCGGTGTCCCCTGGGACCATCTTCCTGAGCCCCATCACTGAACCGGGAACTCAGAAGACCCGGAAGGTGGACCCAGGACAGGATGGCGGCAGCTCAAATGACACAGATATTGAACACCCTGCAGAAAACCTCTCCAGTAAGTCAGGTTTGGATGGGGGAGAGAATGGCTGGGGTGGAACTGGTGCATTGTTTGGGAGCTTTAGAGGGTGATGGATGGGAGTTGGAGGGGGCTTGGGCCTTTGTGGGGGGGTCTTAGCTTGGGGTGTCTTGGGGCCATAGCTTGGGGATGGGCACCTTTGCATGCTGGGCTAGCTAGGAGCTGGGATTACCGGCGATGCTGATTAATGCTGATTGACTGCTGGCTCAGAGCGCAGGGCTTTGCTGAGCCCAGCCCAGTCTGCCACTGTCTGGGGCCGTGGGAGGAGGAGTTCACAAACAGCCCCAGTGAGAAAAAGGTGCTGGCTGTACTCTCAGGGCAGCTTTGTTCCCTTAGTGTAAAAATGCAACTTTTGCCTTCACTTCAAGGAAAGCAACGCAGTTATAAGATGGTGCCTTTAGATTAGGTAGCCATGAGGACACTTACTATGGTGGAATTGAACTCTGGTCTTGCTGTCCCTGTGAAAGTGCCCAGGCAGATTAAGGCAAGCAGAAATGACCCCTCCTATTATCCTAAAAGTTGTAGCATTTTGAAGTTTAGATGTGAATGCACTGCTGTTGGGGCCCCTGTCTGCATTTGCGTGGGACTGAACTGGCTGTGTGCACATAGGGCTGGCACATAGGGTCAAGCCGAACCATTGGAAACAAGCTCAAGGCTATTTCTTCCTTTGTATTCTTGTCTCAGTCCCCAGGAAATCCCACGCTGAGAAGAGCAGCCTCTGCATCTAGCAGCACAGATGGTGCTGCCTGGCCTCAAGTAGACACTCCAAGTCTGAGGATGTCCCATAGTTGAAGGTGAAGAAGGGAGCACTGCGACCCACTCCTTGATAACATTGCAGACTTGTCTGTGCACCAAGCAGACCCTGGTGTAGATACGTGGAAGTCCTTTCTGGCGGATGCGGCCACTGCCACAAACAGGTCAACCACAGCTGTAGAGAAGGCGGCTAATGCTGTGGCCATGGCAGCCATGGCTATAGAGAGGGCAGCTTCTGCCATGGAGGAGCACTATGGCACCCAGGCAGTGAGGCTGACCCATCACCCTCCCTCTGACAACAGGCATTGGCCCCAGTCTCTAGCTGACCTGAGCTACCCACGTGCCCGCCATTTCCCCACTTCCATCCCTGGCCAGCAATTGCCACCAGGTTGTTCCTGGGACTATAGAGAGACTCCATGGGCATGCTGTGTGCACCCTGCCCCACACTGCAGCCACCATGACTCCTGCAATGCTTCCACCCCCCAGGGTACCACACAGCAAGCAGGGAGCGTGGCTCTGAGTGGCACGTCCAAAAGGGGCAGCTTTCCCTTCCCAGGGGGGCAGGGAACACCGCTGACATCCCATATGCCTGCACCCTGGCAGGGAGGGAGTGCCATCAAAAGATGGCTGCTAAGTGTTGAGGATGACCTGACTCAGGTCCCCAGCAGTGCAGGGTCTGAACACTCCTCCATGCAAATGCATCTCTCAAGCTCCGTGTCAGGCTGGGGTGAGGTGCAGCCAGTGGGCCACAGGACTCCTAGGCATCAGGGGGAATGGTAGTCAGCCCCTTGTCTATGCCATGGATTTGTTTGCAGTTTGCACCATGTTTTGCTAGGTAGGGTTGGGGAGGAAGGGGACTTGAGCTGACAATTGTGTGCCTCAGTTTCTCTTCCAGCTTCAGGCCCCAAATGTACCTCACAGGTCCCCACACGCTCCCCTCCAGCCAGCATGTGTAGCTAGGTAGGGTCGGGGAGAAGGGAGAGGACATGAGCTGACAACTGTGTGCCTGATTTGTTTTTCAGGGAGATCAGATCAGAACAGACCCGTGCCTGGCAAGGAGATTTGACTTTCCAGCCCTTAGCAGTTGATCAATCATTGCATTTTGGCTCTCCCCTCAAGTCCCCACACCCCCAGCCATCCCAGCCATGAAGATCCAGGTGTCTGTTTCCCTCAGGGCTTGGCAGGGGAGACACAGCAGAGCAAACAAGCCTTTGAAGGTATCTTTTGATCTTTATCCCAGAGGACTGCATCACACTGTCCTGTATATTAAACTCCAGGAAAAGCCACAGCAACACTTTCTAATTGTGTTAGTTTCCCCATAGTAAAGACCACAAGTAGCATTGGCATTGGCATTTCCACCCCCTGGGCTACCCCAGCGAGCAATCAGTGCTTTCTCCCCAGCCTCTGGGAGCAGGGAAGAGCCACAGCAGCTAGGCAGCCTTGGAGGTGCTGGGGGGCAGGGGGCTGGATCAGGCTTTCCCTTCCTGTGCAGGTCAGTGGAACAGCTGGGACTCCAGCCTCTGCTTTCCTGCCCCCGTCCTGCCGCTGCCCCTGGCCAAAGCAGCCGGGGGGAGGAAACATATCCCCAGCAAGCCCTGCACCCTAGGTGTGGGGGAATAAGATTGGGGGCCTGATCAGGTCCTCGTGTGCTGGGGTTTCCATCCCAGGGCAGGGGCGGGGCAGGGGCTCCCCCCAAAGTGCCTTTCCTCCCTGCCCCTAGCTCCTAGCCTCCTCTGGAAACACAACCAGCACCCCTCACACTCCAATCCCAATTTATCAAAACATGAAACCTTTAATTTATTTTCCCTTGTTTTCTTTTTTCATTCTTTTTCTTACTAGTTTTAATTTTATCCTTAACAGTGGCTGACTTCACTTGCTTCATTTTGCCACCCTTCCTCCATCCATATTTCCTTTCCACCTCCCATTAACTCTCCGCCTCCCAGTGACACGTTCCTGCCCCACTTCCCCAGCCCATCTCTGTAAAGCTTGTCCTGCCTCGCCAGCCCTGTCGTGGCCACTAACGGCTACAGCTTCTGCTCCTGCCCCCACTCACCAGGCCTCTAGTGGTAAGCACAGGTGTGCAGGTGGCGAACAGCCAAGGAGGTTTCTAAATTAAAGGTGTAACTGCTCCAGACTCCAAGCTACTGCTAACACCAATCAGCATGTGGTCAGTTCACAGCATCTAACAAGGCCCTCATTCATTATTACTCATGGATTAGCTCTCTTTAAGTGGTATTAATCATCAGTAAATGTAAACCGCAGGAATGTGTCATTGTAATTTGGGTTGAAGTAGTACCTGGAAGTCCTGGTTGGGATGGGGCCTGGGGTATTGATATAGCCTGTGTCATAGGTGACTGGTAGGGGATGCATGGGGGTGCATGTGCCCCCCTGAAGGGGCTGGGTTCCCCCCAACGGCCGACACTGATGCTGTCAGTAGGACTGGTGCTCCCCCTGACAGGGCTACTGCTGTTGATGGCTTCTGCGGGTGCCCCCACAGATTCAGGAGGCACTAGTCACTCATGGCCTCTGTCCCAAAGGGCTTACAGTCTAATTTGATGAGACAGGGAAGTAAAACACAGCGTGGAGAAGTAATTCGACCAAGGTCACATGGTGAATCAGTTGCAGCGCCAGGAACTGAACCAGAATTTCCTGAGTTTCTGGCTATTCATCTAACCCTAAGACCATTGTTCCTTTTCTGAGAGCTTTGTAGTCCAAAGAGACCTTCAGAAGCAATATACATTTAAAAAAAAATGTATATTGAATTCAGTAATTGTTATTGAATAATTCAATAATTGTATATTAAATGCAATAATTGTTATTGAAAAAGTCAATAATTCAATAATTGTCATTCAATAATGTGATTGACTTGTTGATCCTGAACTGTTAAATTTAGTTCTTGACTTGATGGCCAATACCCAGCCATTGGAGGTATTTGACTACAGGGTTTTCATTGGGTCCATTACTGGGTAGAGCTGCAGCATCACCTACCTGCATGGTTTGTACCAGGAGTCTTGTGACATCTGATGATGTTTCCTTTGAGGGCCTGGATCCCAGAGCTTTATGAGCAGGTGAGAATCTCAGCTTTTATTCATAAAGCAGGAAGTGTCTGGTGCTTGTGATTGTGGTGCAAAGCTGGAAAACCTGAGCTCTAAAGCCAAGGAAACAGGTAGAAAAGCTAATGCAAGTAGCAGTCCCCTGACAGTTCACCCAGTCTCATGGAGCTTGGGACTTGCCACATGGTTTTGGGGGCCTGATGTAAGAAATTTGGGGCCTGAGTCATGAAGTTGGGGGCCCTGGCTCAAGAATGTCTAATTGAAAAGCAATGATTTTGAAAAGCATTCATGGGCAAGGTTTCCAGGGTCTAGGGAGAAAGCAGCCCACAGCCCAGCAGTTGACATGAGAGAATCAGATTCAGGTCCTAAGACAAGAAGAGCAGGTGTCTGTCCTGTGTCTGTCCACATCTCAAGGGAGTACTGTAGCCCCTGGGTCATTCTTGCAGTGGGTGGACTGCTGTTTTTTCTTTTTAACCAGAATTTCTTGGGGCTGAGAAACTGATTCCCAAGGAAAGTTTCCTATTGATCCCTCACCCACAGTCTTGTCCTGATAAAGAAGTGGACTCAACAGATAAACTTGCCTCTTTGCCCATCGAGAGGCTCCCACTGCATAGGGAGGTAGAATCTGGAAGCTGGCTGCCATGCGGCTTCCCATAAATCACAGAGGTCTCATGGGTCTGATGACCCAACCATTTTGTGAATGTCTTTTGAGATGGTTTATAATTCATGAGCTTGTTTCTTGTAAGAAGCTGATCTGGGCTCAGCTGGCTCTGCAGGAACCTGACAGTCCCAGTCTTAGCAAATGGAGAGGGAACTCAAGGGCCAAAAACTCTGGGAAAGTAGATGGATAAAGCTTGTTGGCTTAACTGGGTTTCCATATCATGAGGATTTGTTCCTAAATTGAATGAAATTTATACTCTTTCCTCTACAGCGCATTGTTCACTGTTAGACCCAGTCTTGCTTGCCCGTCTGTATTTAGTTACCTCTTATGCATCTGTGTGTGGGCAACTGAGGTTCCTAAACAATTGGGCAGATTGTCAGAAGTGTTCAGCTCGTTCTGCGCACCCCGGGGACTGAGCTCTTTGGACCATCCGGCCTTGAGCACGAGTGCTGAGCACTTGAAAATCCAGCTCCATGTGCAACAGGACACAATGAATAGCTGTCCCAGGAAGTCTAAACAGACATAATTGCTACAGCAATTGGACATGTAAATTATTCCAACACAGAGTCCCATGCGGTCACTTCCACATCAGTAAATGGATGTAAGTGTATCTAAGGGGCCTAAGCCTTGGTTTTGCTTACCACAGAGGGAGATCAAAATCTGATCTGCACTGTCTGACTTACCCCATTTTACATCTCACCTCTGAATGTGCTCCAATGTTGATGACGGCATGAAAGCATTCGGTGGTTAAATTTTAATGACTATGTAGCAACATAAAAATAAAAGATTTCGCAGGCTTAGAAATGTCGGATGACAAAGCCATTCACAAAGCAGTCTCAAAGAGTGCTATTTAAACATTCATGACTGTGAAAGCCTATTTTTTTAGCTATAAATACTGGGAATAAATCAGCTAAGAGAACCAAGCAAGGGCTTAGTTTTCTTCACCCTATGATACTTTCGTTGCTGGCTTCCAAAGTGCTCATCCACCAAAATTGAACAATATTGGACTCAAGCTTTGCCTGGGGGGAGATTTGCATCAGAGAGCAAGAAAGAGGAAACTAAAGGCTAGGGCCAAAGCCTGAATTGGGGTAGCCCAGGAGAGTGAGACACTGTTTGCTTCTCATTGTATGAGCTACCAAATTGCTATTAAGTTCTTACATGCAGGCAGGTCCCTGGTGAAAGGATCAAGTCAGAAAGCAGGACGCAGAGTCTAGCTGACCAGTGACACCACTGCAAATAGGTTGTGTGTCTCTAGACCTTCTTGGGGTGATATTTTCACCTCTGTGTAAGTGTGCTTTCCTGGGTCTTTCTCTCCCAAGAAGTGTTATCATCTCGTGTCAAGGTCTGTCCTTAAACTTAGTAACAGTATCCTGCAACTTTCACTCTTCCAGTTACTGTAATTTCCTGCACTTTTAAAAAAATTTGCTTTGATGAATGAATTTCCTAAGCAAGCTCAGTGCTGCCGTTGCCTGCGTGACACCAGAAGAGACAGGGTGAGAAGAATTAATTCATGGGACCATTTGACGGACATTTAAACTGAATGGTGCGGGGAAGGGGAGTGTGGAAGGGAGATGCTGGGGCCGGGAGGAAAACGGGGATCCATGGGAGATGGGTGATCCAGAGAGAGAACCATAAGAAATTATGGGGAGAAGGGTGAATGATGGGACTTGGGTTGGACTCGAGGAGCAGAAGGAAGCACAATGGTTGGGTATAAGGCGGGGGATGCTTGAGGGACAGGGGATCAATGTGAGAGGACACTGGTGGGACAGCTGCAAAACCCTGTATAGCAACTATGCTAATGCAAGCTCCTTGGCTGCTGTCCATCTCTGTGCCCCTTAGCCATCCTCTTTCCCCAGGGCTCTGTACTGAGCTGCAAGCTCCCTCGCCTTCTGTGCTCTGAGGTGGAGGGCAGTGATTTGGGAGAGTCTGTTCTTCACAAGAAAGGTGGGATCTCCTGTCTTAGGGACTGGAAGCAAAGCAGACTCACATTTAGGCTTCCTGTTGTTCTAAAAACCCCTTTCTCTTACACTTCGCTCCCGCTGTGAGGATGAAATGTTACTTTGCTTTCAGAGGGCTCTTTGAGGTGATGGCACCTACTGCTGTTGATAAAGTACATTGAGAAACTGTGAGGACCTGCTGGATAAGCATGGTCAGTGCAGAAGGGGCTGTGGCCTAGGACTGAATGGAGAAGCAACTGATCCCACCCTGAGAGGAGTGAAGGCAAGAGCCCCTCTCTCGCTCTGCTTTTATACAAGTGACATCAATGGACTGATTTCTGATCTAGCCTGGTGGACTTTCTCCTCCTCTCTCTCTCCCCACCACCACCCAATTTATGCCAGCATAAATCAAGAATAACTGGTGTAAAGCTAAAATCAGTGAGATCCAAATAACTCGTTTCTCCTGAAATCTTGATTCTGATGAGCAAGTTTTCATGGGGTCTCTATCAAATCCTGCCCTGCCCTCCCCTGCCCTGCTTAAATCAAGGGGTGTCCATGGGGCAAGGTTTCATCTGACTCTGTCTTGGGTGAGATCCTCCTCTCCCTTGTGCTGGTGTCAGCCAAGGGAATAAGAACCACCAAGCCCTAATTTGGCCTGATCCCTGGACTATCAAGTGGCCTTAATGTCAGGAGCTCCATAGGATATAAGTGGCAGAGGGGCTTTGCTTTGGCTTTCTGAGCAGAAGTGGATTTCCTTGACCTGCCTGATGTAGAACAGAGTTCTGTGCCTGCTGTTTAAAAGCAGGGCTGCTGCAAACGCGATCTTGACGTGGCCGTGGGTGGAAGATCAGTAAAGGACAAGCTGGAACTTTAATTAAAAATCAAATGGAAAATCGAACTTCATACCTCAGAACAGAATAGCAGAACAGCACTATATACATGGGAATAGGACTGTACACACCTGAATGGGAATACATACAACAGGGAGCCGCCCTCCATTCACAGAACAGAGCAGTGGCTAATTTTGGCATTGAACTTCTCTCTCCCTACAAAGAATTGCAGTCCAACAAGATGACTGGGTAGTGACTCCGTAGGGCTCTCGGTGGGAGAGATGGCGGGGCATGGGTGGGGACAGGGGTAATCTCAGAGCTAGCTATCTATGAATAAGGGACAGGTAGCCCCATTCAGCCTCCAGTGCCCAGTCTCTCTCCCTCTCCACCAAGAACTGTCGCCTCCCAATCTTCATGTACTGTGCTGCCAGCTCCCTCTCTTTCTGCGCTTTCCTCTTCATTGCCTCTCTCTCGGGCCTTTGCTCCGGCGTGATGGGCAGGGACACCTCCAGCTCCTGGAGGGGGTTGTTCCTGGCCACCACGGGAGAGTGGGAAGGGGAGGGATGCCAGGGTGACGTGGAGCTGTGAGGAGGAGGGGGCAGGCGCTGCTGCACGGGAGCAGTGGAGCTGCTGCTCGGTGGCACAGCTCCATCTCCTGGGTTTCCTGGGATTTGGAAGAGTCTTTTAGGAGCAAAGACTTGCCCCTCCTTCCTTGGGGTGTCCATCTGTCTGTCCTTCCTAGCAGTGTCTGCCTGTCCCTCCTTCCTAGGGTTGTCCATCTGTCCATCCTTTTGAGGGGTGTCCATCTGTCCATCCTTCCTCCCCCCAGGGGCTGGTCGATGAATCTTTGCCTTTTGGTTGGCCAGGGCTTCCAGGCGCCTCTTAAGCCCCAGGATGATTTGTGGCGACACAGTGGGGGTCCTTGCTGGAGCCTTGCTCGGGGGTGGCGCAGGGGGCTTTGGAGCTGGGGTGGCTGGCTGAAGTTTCTTGCCCAGAGGGTGAAACACCTGGATGGACTCCAGCATCTGCATCTCCAGGTGGCTCCGAGGTACTTTTGAAGGCTGTGCCTCCTGCTGGGGGATTTTCTTCCCACCTCGACCTCCAGGCGTCTTGAATTTTCCCTTGCCTGGTACTGCCCCTTTCCCTTTGTCATTCCCGTGGGCGCCCAGTTTTTGATGCTGCCCCTTGTCAGGTGTCACAGCTTCTGCTGGGCCCATTGGCTCTGTCATGGATGACTTCTGGATGTCAGCCACTGTCTGTTCCATAACACTGCATGGAGTCAGGAGGAGGCTGTCCCCTGAGGACTGGCCTGGCATGGCTTCACCTGCAGTGCCACTAGTGCTTGCTCCTGGGTTACAGTTCTCCCTATCCCCCTGGCACAGATATTGGGAGAACTCACACCCTGCTGCCACTTCCACCTTCCTCTTCTTTGGAGCAACGCCCTTGTCAATGCTGAGTCCCTTTCCATGAGAGCCACTGCGCTTGAGAGCCTGTGAAGGAGGAACAGGTGGGGTAGCTGCTGGTAGCTTTGATTTCCTTCTTCCTGGCATCTTTGGGTCTGACAGTCTGGGTCCACTACTGCCAATCATGAGGCCAGACCCCACCAATGGGGTAATCGCAAAAGGACCTGAGGTCTGCACCAGCTTTGCAGCATTCTCTGGGGTGCTCCACTTCCCAGGTGTAGGCAGAGGGGCTCCATCCAGAGGCTCCACTGCAGGGGCAGATAAGAGGGCAGCCAAGGGATCCTTTCCCTCAACATGGCACATGGAAACACATTTCCTTGCAGGCATCTTGTTGAAGGAATCACTTGGCATCACCTCCCTAGCACCAGCAAGCCCCTCTGTGTGAGGGTCCTTGCTCGTTGACTCAACAGGGTCAAACCAGGCCAACAGTTCATTAATGTCAGGGATTTCTAAAGGGAATAGAGGTGTCTCCTGGGATTCTGGAGGCAGCAGAAACTCATCCAGGATCTCAGCAGGAATCTCTGTGCTGACCTTCTCCACTCCATCGTCTTGCTGGTCTGGAATCTGTTGTAAGGGAAGAGTCTTGGGCTCAAGCCATGTTTCTGGTGGGGTGTCCAGCACTGCAAGAGAGAAATCAAGGAAAAAGAGTGATGTTGTGAACCAGAAACCCTACCCAGCACGCTGAGGTGCCCCACTGAGGCAGCTGGAGGCCTGGGCAGCATTGAACCCTTTAAGTCTGGGTTAAGTCAGTCACAGGTGTCATGTCATTGGTTGTGTGCATGTGCTTTGTTTCAGAGGCAGACTCTTAGGACAGGACATTGGTCACTGGAGAGAGCCAGGAATTAAACTGTTCCTGCTGGAGGAATGAATTCAATGGAGGGGTTAGCATCTCTGCTGTTACCACATGTGCAGCCTTCATGCTCAGTTCTGAAAGTACAATAGCAAGGTTTCAGTTGCCACCATTTGATGGGGTTATGCTTGCTTTGTGATAGGGTTAGAATTAGCTGGCTGGTGCCCTCTGACAGATGTATTCAGAGTCTCTGAAAATATGTCTTCTAGGTATGGTGCTGCTCATGGCAAATAGAGATTTGCCTTTAGCCCTATCAGGAAAGATCCATGGGAGAAGAAGGATAGGTTTTCTGTCCCTGTGTCTAACTGTGATTTACAACAATGGTGAAGCTACGACTTGTAGTTGCATTTTATTGAGAAAAACTCCCCTGCCTGCTCTTTCCTGCCATTCTAAACTCATTCTATGCCCTGTCTGGACTCAGAAACATTTGGGTGTCAATTCAAACCCAGTGTAGACAGAGCTAAACAAGGGTCTAGTTTAGAAACCTGACCCCACTACCAGGTTCTAAACAGCCTCACTCCAGACACATCATCCAGCCAAATTATTCACAACCTCAGTTATCCTTAACTATTTTAAACCAAGCAAATAACTCATCCAAGGGAACACAGTCTCCAGCCCTGTGGGAGGGCATCCTTGGCCTACACTTTTAAGCCCTCATGGACCTGGTCCCAAAATTTCTGAGGTCAAAAGAAAACTCCCTTTAAGTTCATGAGTTCCTGGGTCCAGCCTTGAGGTAACTGCTAGAGCCGCAAGACAATAGTCAGAGCAACCAAGGCTTGAGAGATTGGGTGAAACACTAGGGACATTACCCCAGGATGTGGATTGCCAGACAGGGAGCTGCACTGAAAGTCCTCCCTGAGCACTTCTTCTGGGAACATGAGCGTTATCTCCAAAGGTTCATAACTGGCCTAATGCAACAACTTCCACTGACTTCAAAGAGTGTTGGATGAGACCCTACCTGACTCATTGTATAAATGAGTTCCACCAAGCAAATAGTCCTTTCTTATACTGTGGTTGAAACCCTGAAACCTACCCTCTGTGCTTGGATACTATGGGAACATCTGCTTTCTTCAGCCTCACCAACCCACTGCACTTCTGGGCTGGGTGTGTGGGAGTGAGTGGGTGGGGAGTGCTAAGTGGTGAGGACATGGTGCAGATGGACCCTATGGCAAATTATTGGCACTAAGCCTATACCCAAAGCAGGGATCAGGACACACTCAGCATCTGAATATTCCCCCTTGCCTTTGCACTCTGGTTTGGTGTCCTGGAGATTTGCCGACCGTGCTGAGACTGGATGGTACAAACTGTCAGCTGGGGCTGCCTGGGTGCTCATGGGCTGGATGGGTTTCAGGACCAAAACCATTTCATTCTGGGACTTGGCTGGCACTGTAATGACCCTGCTGCTGGACACAGTAGAGTACATCTCTCCTGGTGCCACCTGGCCCCTTGCATCACAGTTATAAAGGTAGATGCTTCTCCAGTCCTGCACAGGGACTTGTTGGCCATGCCCTTGGCTTTGAAGAACCTGCAGTGGTGTCGCCTGTGGCTGTATCTGCACAAGACGGGCATTTGCAGGCAGCTGAATCTGCCCATAAAGGTGCTCCAAGGAGCTGGTGTTGCTCAGCTGATCGAGAGCAGGATTTGACATGTCCTGGACTAGTGACGCCACAGAGCAAGGTGCAGAGACCTTTGCAGCCCTGTAGGGGTTGCCCTGTACTCCCCATTCATAGACAGTGGGGTAAGAAGCAGCTGATCTGGGGATCTGCGTCTGTCCAGCAGTCCCATATAGTCCTGGCCATAGAGCTGTTTCAGGCAGCTGATAGGTGAAACCATTGGTGTTTCCTGCATTAGACTGAACAGGTAGGGTTGAGCCTGAAGGCATGAGCCAAGCTGAGCCTAAGGTTGGTAGGGAGGATCCAGAGAAAGTCTGAAGGCCTCCTCTGATCAAAGGGCTGTCAGCCACTGCAGAGAAGATCGGTTGTTGAAGGTTGGCAGCACCAACTGGTAGAGAATATTGGAAATTTCCTGCAGAGAAAAACAGAAAGACAAGACTGTTAAGTCCTAATCTCTTCCAGGCTCTCTTACTAACTGTCAGTCCTGGAAAACCAGTTCAGCCTCTGCCTGGAGAACTGGACACCCAGCATTGGCATACCATAAATGTATGGCTTCTCAGTCCTCAAAATGGCCAGCTTGTTTGGTCCTCTCACCAGAACATCCTGGGACATCTCCTTCTCTCTCCTAACAACACCAAACTTACAGGAGTAGTCAGAATTTGGCTCCCAGCCAGCGATCACAATCACCCCGCTGTCAGAAAAGGATTTTGTTTCAAGATGTTTATACCAGGGACAGATTCCACACCCCCTGCCCTGATCCCCGGCAAATCACCAAATCAAAGTCATTGTCCCTGTAAAAACCCTGTCAGGGTCTGTGAAGGTCTCTCACTGACAATATGGGATAGAAAAGCACTTATCAATAAGGAACTGAGATTGTAAAATCACTGCCACAGAGACTTGAGTCTTTAAGAGATGGTTATTTTTGAGTGCTGTCCAAATTGTTGGCATCTCTTAAACCCAAGACCCACTCCTTGTCCCTGGCACTGTCTACCTTCTACACATCTCACATCACTCCTTCATACCCCTCTTGCCATTTCATGTTGTGGCTGAGTAGCCATCTGACTTTATATTCCATAATGTTGACGATCCATTCCCAGCTTTTTCACTTTTCTCTATGACTCTCACTTGTTCAAATTTCCCACACTGTTGGCCCCAATGCTCTATCTTCCCCAGCCTGTCCCAGCTCTCCAGAGAGGATGAGGAGGAAGGATGGTGCATGAGAAATACATGGACCCCGTTCCCCTTCAGGCAAGACAAAAAATCTCCTTCATCTTTGGATGGTGGGACCCAAACTGAAGCACTGGGAAAATCCTTATCCCGTACCTGCCATGATGAGGGAGTAAGTCAGAGAAAAAGTTAGAGTTGTGATGATTTCAGCCTTTCCGGGAGACCGCAGCTCCGCTGGACCCCACCCGAGCATGCGTCCGGTATGGAATGCGTGGGCCGCGTGCGAGGGTACGAACTTGTTTGGTGCCGTCCTCATGGCAACCCAGAAGACTCTGTAATGCCAACCAAGATTGTGAGGATGGGATGGGAGAGAATGCAGTGATGCAATAGGATGTCATAATGCTGGAGCAATTTCATTGGGCAGCTGGATGTGGGTACCAACCTGGAGGCCAGGAATGCAGTTAGGGAGATGGAAAATGCTGTTTGTTGGGGAATGAGGTAGCAAGGCTGCGTAGGGTGTAACACAGCAGCACAGCACTATTGCAGAGTCCAGCTACCATGTCCTTACAGCTGCCCTGGGCACTGGGTAACACAGGGGTGGGCAAAATGTGGCCCGTGGGCCAGATACAGACCGCCAGACTAGTCTATTCGGTCTGCAGGGCGCCTAAAAAAGTCAGAAAATTAATATTTATCTGCCCTTGGCTGCCTGTCATGTGGCCCTTGATGGCTTGCCAAAACTCAGTAAGTGGCCCTCCGTTTGCAATAATTGCCCGCCCCTGGGGTAACAGCTTCTCAGATATGCAAGTGGGGATAATGCCATGCTGACGGTTTAGAGCAGTTATAATCAATCCCAGAACTCCCATTGCCACAATGGGGCTAGGATTTCTCTCTCAGGAGAGTTTGAAATGGGTCTTGAACCATTTGATTTTAGCTCTGAAGAAAGCACAATAGTCTGAGACTCGACAGAAAAGCCACGAGAACTGGCCACACCCACACTGAGACCTGGTACACATGACTTCCAGAAGCAGTGAGCTCCCATTAATTTCAAGGGGAGCTATGAATTTTCAGTTCAGCTGAATGAGTATCAGGCAACTTTTATTTAGTTGCCCAAGGTAGAGCAGCGTTGCACCCTATCGACTGACTAATTCAGAGGTACATAAGTTTCTATAAGCAACAGATCACTTGGTCGGTACAAAAGCTTATGTACCTCTGAATCAGCCCAGAAGGTAAAACTCTGCCCTGCCTTCTGCCTGACTTCCAACTAATATGGCTAACTGCCTCCCTCTGTTCTTAGCTGCCCAACTTAAGGCTTTTAGCTATGTATGCACTGGCCAACACTGTCTCCCTTGTCCCAGTCAACTTGCTCATCAGTGACCTCGAACAATTTGCAAATGACACATAAATTGGCATGTTGGTAGGTGACAAGGAGGACAGGCCGTTACACACAGAGTTGGGAATCTTGGGCCCACTGGAACAAAATCCACTGGCATACAGCCAGAATGACACACCTAGGAATAAGGAAGACAGGCCATATTTACAGAATGGGGATTGTATCCCAGCAAGTTGTGATTCTGTAAAGACAATTTAGGGACTATCAACTGAAAATGAGCATCCAGGGTGAATATGATGCCAGGAAGGGTTAATGTGAGCCTGGGTTATATAAACAGGAGTGTAGAGAAGTGATGTTACCTCTTCATGTGGCACAGGTGAGACAGATCCGTGTGTGTGGCTCCAGTTTCCCCTTTTTTTATCAAAGGATATTGAACAGTTTGAGAGGATCCTGACCAAAAGGGGACTTCATTGCATTGTGGAAGTTGCTCTGCATGGGGAGAAAAGGCCAGGTACTCTTTTAAGTTATCTGAGAAAGCCCTGGCACGAAGCAATAACTGAAAGATGAAGCCTGGCATTCTCAAAATAGAAACATGGTGACTTTTTTGACCAGAGCAGGGGATTCACACTGCCAGGGGAAGTGGTCCATTCTCTATCTCTTCATGTCTTCCATCAGGACTCGGCACCCTGGTGGAAGAGGTGCGTGAGTTGAATGCAAGCTACCAGGCTCTGTTACAGGGGTAACTTAGTGAGACTCGATGGCTTCTCATAGGCAGAAAGTCACACTACATGATTTCATGACACCTTCTCACCATGAACTCTGTGAAACTATGAATAGTTCTGGGGAATTTCCTGAGCCAGGTCTCAAGTCTGCATGGAAGTTGCATTGTCTTGCATGGTCTGGCTGATGAGGTTGCTTTCTGTGTGTCCTGGAGGGCTGGTTCTCTGCTTGCATCTATGCCTATCCTCCAGGCTGTTCTTTCTCTTGTCTCCTCCATCCCACTGATTTCCAAACCGGTGCACTCTGTAGCTGGTATGGCTAGTGTGAAAAGCACCAATAGGACATAGGTGCAGGACTGTTCACGGGGCGCTTTTCTATTATCCATCCTCCTTTGCAACATCTCTGTGTCCTCTCCAGCAGAGGTATATCCCTGTGGGAAAGACAGGACTCTCTCTCACTCCTACCCACAGCCATTTCCTTTAGCCCAGGGCACTTTTGCTCCCCACGGCCACCTCTGCATTCATGGCTACATCCGTCCTCATTGTCCCTCCCCTGGGGCAACATGAGGGGTACATTTCTCTACTCTCCGGGTTTTATTATACCCCCATCGGCTTCTTGCCTCTACTCCTTGGGCTGCAGCTGCTGTTGTCCAACCGCCATGGAACCATCCCTTGTCCCTGTTTGCAGCCAGTTGGGATCTAGCAAAGGGCAGCACTTGATGCAGGAGAAAGGGCTGGAGGGGCTGGGGGGTGAAGGGACATGGGGACTGTTGGGAAAGGAGTGGTTTGTTCTGCCTAGGCAGGAATCTTTCTTCTAGATAAAGTGTGCACATCTCAGCAGTGCTTAGTCCCATACAGGGGCTTCCTTAGCATGACAGACACTAGAGGGCCCATCTGATCATCTCCAAGCACCAGAGCACACGAGGCTCTCAACTTTCAATGTGCTGTCTCTCATTTGCATGAATGGCTATCAGGGTTGCCAGCCCTCCTGGATTGCCCTGGAGTCTCCAGGAATTAGATATAAACCATCAGGAGACTGCTGAGAGTCACTCGGGAGATTAAAAAAAAAATTAAATGTTGAATCAGATTTATGCAGTAGTCCCGTAGGTTTTTAAAATGTAATAGTAATATGCATTTGTTTTCCTGACGTAAAGTCTATGCACCATAATCTGTAATTGATATATGCAAACATGTGGATACCTTAATGTCATTATGCCATGTGATGAAACCTCCCAGAATAGATTCAAACAGAGCTGGCAACCCTAGTAGCTACAACATTCAAAATGAGCTGCAATCACTTCTATTGCTGTAGGGCATTGGCGATGCATAAGGGCTGCACCTGGGTGCACATGCACCCCAAGACTGGCGGTGCACCCCCTGCAAAAAGTGTCACCGATGCTGCTGGTGGTGCCTGCGGGCGGTCGCCACTTGCCACCCCCTCCTCGCCGGTGTCGGCGGCATCTGCAAGCAGTCCCCGATCGCTGCTGACCACGGCTGATGCTACTGGTGGCGTCTGTGGGTGGTTGCTGACTGATCAACGCTTGCCACCCTCCCCACCGCCGACAGCGCCATGGCCACCTGTGGGAGCTCCCTGCTGCCCCTGCCTCCGCCACCAACAGGCAGTTGCCGTGCCCCCCCCCGGCCTCTGGGGGCACATGTTGTTCATGCTGTAGGGCATGAGGCAGGGGGACAAAAGCTGAGGGTATCCTAAGCCCTTTACTGAGGGGTTGAACCTAGCAGGCAGCCAGGCTTCTGGGCCTGCCACTGTTTGCTGTGTGAACACAGGCAAGTTGTGCTTAAAACTAATAAAAGAGGGGAGAGGATGGAGAGAGGAAGGATGAGAAGAAGGATGAGCATATGTACTCATTAAAACTACTCCATGCATTATCCATTAACAGAGGAACAAGGTGCTGTCACCATCTGATGGCCGCTGGCGGTATCAGAGCCTCCTCAAGCATCACGCGCAGCATTAACCGTAGTGCTGCAGATGCCTGTTTAGCCTGGGGGGCTCTAATCTCCAGCCCAGCAGATGCTGGGGAACAGGCCCCCCATTGCTAACTGTGGGGTACCTGGATAGGGAAAGGCCCCTTTGGGCACATTAGGAGTTGGGAACCTGTCCGTGGTGCACGGCATCCATCTCAGCCAATCCGTTTCACTCCATCCCAGCTCAGGGGCATGGAGTGGCCCCACATGGGGGATGGAGGGGAGATACGTTAGAGCAAGGACAAGACTCCGCCATGGGTGGGTTTCCCTTGTCTGAGACTGCTGCAGCCTGCTGGGCTTAATGCTTGTTGCACAGACCTGGGGCTGCTGGCAAACCTAAGGAGCGTGTTATTTCTTGGTAAGGCCTCAGGTATTTGCTCTGCAAATTCCCTTTCCGCCACTCTGCTGCGTGCTAAACCACTGGTTCTCACCCTTTTGCTGCCAGGGCCCATTTCTAAACATCAATGGCCACTCCTGACCACCTGGCCCACTGCTCCCCGCCCCCAGCGTGTTGGGCCAGGGGGCCCAAGCAGCCCCGGGCTGACGGGAGCTCTGCAAGGGACGAGCCACGGTGTCCCGTGTCTTTCTCCTTTAACAGAGAATCCATTGTTAACGTTTGTTCGGGCCCTTTCGTCCAGTCTTGTGACCGGGGTTGCGAAACGCGGCGCCAGACGATTCAGCGGGGCTCCGCTGGGTTTCCGCAGCTCCAGGGACGCCTCTTCGGCGCAGAGAAGCGTAGGCATCTCGCCATTTGGCCACAGCGACTTCGTCCGCGCCCCCTGCTGCTTTCCGCCGCTTTGGCCGCGTGCCCCCCAGCCCGCCGTGGCTTCCGCCCCTCTTCGCAGGAGCCCCGAGCCCGCGACGCAGCTAGCACCAGGCCTCGC